CACAGCTACGGGTGGAAACTCACCCCAGTGGGATTGAAAACCGTGGCTCCGACGTTGGCGCAGTTGGCGCTGACGTCTTGGCTTGGACGAACGTCGACAGTGACAGTGCCAGCAGCCAAACCAGTCAATGCAATCAGGACTATCGGGGATCGCTTCCAGTCTTCCTGATAGAAAACAACTTCACCCTGAACAGTTCCACCAGCAACGGGTGCGATCGTCGCACGAGCAACAATGTGCTTAAAGTCCAAGCCAAACGGTTTCCGCAGCGCCAAACCTTTTAATCGAAAAAACAATTAGTGCTTCTTATAAAATCAAGAAAGTTCTTCTTGAGTTCCATCGAGAGATTTCCGGAAATATTCTCAATCCTTTAACCAAAAAAATAAAAACTGCCTCGGGGGAACTCGCTGAAGATGTTCAAACAAACGCACTAAACCGTTACTTCTCCTGATGAGTTTAACAGAATGAATATTGTTTCTCCTCACGAAAAACAAACAAAACACAAAATATGAATGAGATGATCGAGTTGTAGACTCGAGATAAACGACCCAATAAAAAATAATGAAAAGGTTCTTTACTGTTGAAAATGTTGGTGTTCAAGAGTGGATCGGTGAAGAACGACAGGGGATTGACGACCGGAAGCCCGAACAGATTCAGGGCGCGTTTCTCGTTTGCCTTGGTGTCTTCTTCGAGTCCATATTTGCTGTGGATTGCTGGTGAATACACTGGTTGATGTAGTACTGGTCCAGTTCGTGCTGATGACCAGGTTGGCCAGCTCAGGGTGCCACCGATCAATCGACCTTGTCTGTTCGTCGTTTCAATCTCATCAGGTGACACCGCGAAACAAGCGGGCACGAGCAGGATTATGAGTGCTGTAAACAATTTTTTGTTGAGACAGTCAACATTTGGAGAAATACGATAATTCCAGATAATTTTTCCAACCATGCACCGTTGTTCACACCAAATTGATGCTCGATTTCAAAATTACACTCATAATATAATAATGAGATACTGTAATATTAGAGAAAAATTTCGAGAAAATCGGCCGATAAAAACCAGCAGATCACGGTCGTCTGTTGCCGAATTTACACGAATTATGGAACCAGTGAAAAATTAATCGCAGTTTTTTTTCCTTTGAAGTGATTGGCTTGACAAATTTGAGGTATAAGAAGTTTTAAAAATGATCGAAGTGAGTTTTTTTTACTGAAACAGTTACCGGGATAATTTCCTTAAAAAAACAAATCATGCTTTTTTCTTGGGCTGAACATAATCCGTTGTTGTGCAGTATATCCATCGAATTGACTTCGCAATGAGCAAAAAATCCTCGTCTTTTTATTTGGAAACTTACATTGATTTCAGTGAGTTTTTTCCCCTTTTTTTTTAGCAGATCACCAATTGATATTTTTGACGTCAGTATATTCCGAAACATATATGGAGAATGAAAAGAAAGATAATCTTGAGTTCGAAGCAACATTTTTCTAATAAGTTCCAGTTATGGAAACGTCTTGAAAATAAATTCAGAATAAGAAGGTAAAATCATTGTCCACAGCAGAAACTTCAGTTTGGGGGAACTAGGAGAAGAGAAATGAAAGTATGAACCGTTGTTCGCTTGAGAAGGACATATGGTTCTAAATGGCACGGTGAATCTCAAGGGGTATCAAATTAGTAATTCATTTCCCGAAGGACAAGTTTTGAAAGAAGTTTTCACCTGTAGTTTTCATGGTTATTTTTTTCTTTCTTCCACTTCGGTTCACTATAACCACGTTTCACAAGAGTGGGTTTTTTTTTCACAAGGAGAAGCGCGATACGATGCAGCGCACTGTCCTCAAGGCTCCAAACACTGACAACTCGTCCAACAACCCAACACTCAACTATATGGAGGAAAAAAAAAAAAAGAAAAAAGAACCGACCGGGAAAACAATGAGTCCGATTTTTCGCAAGTGTATCACAGAGAATATCGGAAGCACGGATCAGTCGCTGCTGATGGATGATCACTGAATGGGATCCACGGTTATGGCAGCTGGAAGATTTAAAGGTTTGTCGGAGCTGGGAAAGAGGAGAAGAAGAAGAAGAAGGTTCCGTCGACGCCGACGAGGAGCCGCCAAGTAACCCAGTTTGCCGTCGGCGACGTTGAATAACCTCGGTTCTCTCCCTCCCCCCCCCCCCCCTTTTTCCCTGCCCCCTTCTCGACACGTCGCCGATCTCGTCACGACGATGATTTTTCCTCCCCGGGATCCGGATGGGCCCCCTCATGCCTTGCAAATGGCCACCCCGCGGGTTCGTCCTTTTCTTCACTCAACACGCGATGCTTATCTCATTTCAGAGGCCGGGTTTCTTCTCCCTTTTTCTTTCTGAATTGCAGGCTCTCGTTAAACTTTTCTGGGTCTATTTCTGAATTTTTCTGTTGGACGCGAAGGTCTTTTTCTGGGGGGGGGGGGGGGACCTTTTTCTAATTTTTCTGGGACACGATCGTGTTCCAAAATGCAGGAAAACCCGGATTGATGGCTGCTTCGCTCCATGAATGTTCCGTTCTTATGGATGCCTAAGCGCCAGACGGAAGTTGCATCGGTTAAGGAAGTCAACGGCGGCTCATGAATGATTCAAATCGAAATTTTTCTTTTGCCTGAACTCCTTGGTATTTGACCATTTCCATGGACGCATAAGCACGTAGGGCTAAGATCCAACGAATAATTGATGGGAAAATGTGGTGACTAAATTTTCAGACCAACATTCCGGCAATTTGCCGGGATGAGGGGATCATTCGTTCAAAATTGGGAGCGAATTTTTTTTCCCCACGAAGAATCTGCGTTTGGATCTCACTAATAAGTACGGAGATCCACTGGTAACCAGGTTTGTAAATGGATTAATGTACGATGGAGAAAAAGTCATGAATCCTTAAAAATAAGAAAAAAATACAAGATTCAAGCATTCAAAGATAATTTTGTTTTAGCATTTATACGAGTATGTGCATTCAAAGTTAGATTAAGATTTACCTCGATTGTGAATAGATATGCTTAATTTAGTTTTTTTCTCAAAACTACGGTTTACACGTACAATATTTTCTGTGTATAATAAACGTCAGGGAAATGTTGGGTTGAAATAACCATCATGGCCAGAAAAATAAACCCGAAATTTGTTTCCAGATGCTTTCATTCCTTTTCTTTTGAATTCTCTGAATCATTTGAATTCTAGAATTCGAGTTATTTTCCCAAACAATCCATAATACTGTTACCCAACATTTTTGGGTCCCGCGAATTTTGGAATTTCCCAGACATTTTTTTTTGCAAAACTGGTAGTTTCACTTCAACTTAAAGTAGTTTGAAAACCACTGCAGGCCTCAACACATGGTTAGCCATAAGTTCCATACAATCTTTGTTTTCATAAGAAACCGTAAAAATTACTTTAGGATACCGTAAAATAAGATTTCATTAAATTCAGCAAGATTCTATGCATTTTCAAGCATAATCATCAGCATTTGAAAAAACCATCCAATTATAGGTTCAGAAGGAAATGAATTCGAAAATGTGTTATTAAAAAGTGTTATGCCCTTCGATTTCCGTGTAGAGAAAGTATTTATGCTTTGTATGACTTCTATTGTGATCTCTCATTTACAAAAAGAAAAAAAAGAAAAAAATACTCAGGATAAATTTGTTCATTTTACAACTGCTGCTATATAGACAAGAAAAAGTGGGAAAAAATTGCAGCATCGCGGCTGGGCATAAGGAAAATTTTCACAAACGGAAAATGTATCTTGAAACTTTGAGAGCCCTCAGAGAACCGGTATATACGCCAAAATATTGACCCAATATATATACCATGGCCGCAAAAATAATTAGATGATGAATGCTTTTATTCCTATTGACTTCTACCTGTTCAACGGTGGAAAGATTGTTAATTAAAAAAAATTCCGCAGATTATGCGTATCCTAGATTGTGCGTGAAAATGACTCAAGCAGAGGCCATTCAAAATTTAAATTCTGTCAGCAGATACTATAATAAATGAATTACAATAAATTATGAATTATAATACTGTAAATGAATGCAGTAATGAATTTTGCTTACATAATTTGGGGGAAAATGTCATTTCGTGGACCATCGGTTCCAGAATGCTGATCTATAATATTGAGCAGTATCCGTGGTAGCAAACGCATAGGCTTTTCAACAAAAACGCTCATGGCTTTTTCTCTCCAGAATTCGTTGCTGCTTCGTTGAGTTTTAAAAATTTTAAATTTTTCGGTAACTTCCCGAAATGGAAAAAAAAAACATCTGAAGCCTCCTGTTGGAAATTATGAAAAAACGTTGATTATTTTTCACGGTCAGTTTAACACAATATTTTATTTTCAAAACCCCGAAAAACTGGCTGAATTTAAGTGAAAAAGTCAAAAGCAAGCAGCAATTTCTTTATCAGCGCATACATTTTTCCGTGATCCGAGTACAGTTCAGCTGAAAAAAGAACTGTTGTCCTCTTAGGAAAAATAATTGCATAGATTTTAATTTGATACTCTTGCTGAACCTGCGGAACAGGCCAACACAAGAAGATACAATGCCGACTACTTCCAAATTTAAAATTTTTAGATTCACACTCAATAGGTTTTGTTTTTTTAGCCGCTCGGGATGTCTTGCATTAAAATCAAGTTTAAATTGCAGAGAAGTTAGAGGATGTGATCTTTATTTTGTAAACTACAAAGTTCTGGCATTCAGGAATAATCACTGGATGCCTTTGTCCGAATAATCGATTGCCAGCACGGATAATCCGTACCATTATCAAAAACTCGCAATCGACGAGTAAAAAAAAAAAAAAATCAAGAATTAACATAAGAAACAGTAGCATCACCTACATTCCTGTAAAATCCACTGTGCTTCAACTACAGTAATATAATACGTCATTCAGAGCTAAATGAGGTCGATAAGCTTTTTCAAATGATGCTAGCAATTGTGGTCGTTTTCATTTATTTTCAATGAATAAACATCCAAATCCAGTCGATTAGAGTCTCTCCAATCCGATGGTATATACGTGTTCCTTACTTTTATATCAAGAGAGAAAGTTCAAAATCCGAGTTCGGAACTGTCCTGTACATATGATGGGAACCATCGCAGTTGATATGATGGTGTTGCACTACACTCCCTGAATGCCTTTCTCCATAACGGAGGACAAGACATGATGCGATATACCAGTGTGATGGACGTGTATAGTATCAGTTCGTCCCCAGCAAGACAAGAATATCCATAGGGTTTCTTCCCTCCCGTTGGATTCTTCAATGGGCTCATTGGGAATTGAATGGCGTGTTTCCTAGCATGAACTGAGCGATATGGGTTGGCAGTGATGGGATGGAACCGGGGCGGATCCGCGTTCCTCCCTTTGTGTCACAGTGTGAGTTCTGCTTTCCTTTCCCATTTCATGCAGTGACCCAGAAACGAATTGGTCCCTTTCTGACCCAGAACCAACTGGCTTCTTGCTGTTTCGTCGTCTTCTTCCCTTTGCCGCTCATCTTCGTCAAGGATGTACAGCATCGTTCAAAATTTGCTTACTTTATATCCTTTTCCATGCTTTCATGCATGTGTGTTTTGAGACTTTTGACTCTCTCCGGAGTCTATTCATCTTCTCTTGAAGATCTTTGATTGCAATTGGCTCCATATGGAAGATGAGGGTTTATACTCACTCCCATTGATGCATATATGCTGTACATATATAGACTGTTTCCACATCGAGATTCGAGGGACCAGAAAAAAAATAGTGTGGAAAGAATTTCGTTGTAGATGGGGATAAAATCCATTGAACCAAAAATAAATTTGTGTTACTACAATAGGAAATGTCATCGTTGTCGACGAGATTGCTGTAGCAAGAGTTCTTACTCCTAATACAAGAAATTTTTGTCTCGGGGAGGAAGAAAAATAACTGCGTTGTTTGCCACATTATCACATAAATTAAATTCAGTAAAAGAAATAGTGCGGCAGGATTTTGGCCTTAACGCGTACATTCGTTTTCTAAACTTGTGACCAGCAACTATACGGGGAAAATATTCAACGTGTCCTCCTTCTTTTTCAACACTGCCTTTCAATTGTTTTCCCTATCGAATGTAAGAAAATTCTTCAAAATTCTGGATTTTCACAACTCAACCGAAGCAGCTGCTGAAAAGCACATAAATTTGCTACCTTATGGACAATGCTCGATATTATTGATCTACAATTCGTGGTCCACGAAATAAGTGTTCCCAGAAGAAAATAAACAAAACTCGTTACTGAAAATTTTGATAGTATTTGTCTTCAGAATTTCGAAAGAGAAAATGACAGCTTAGGGAGTGGAAATTGGTTATATCTGTCACATTTTAGGATAATTTTAAGCTACACTGCTAAGCAACAATAGATTTTTCAAGCAAATACCTTAAAAATCTATTCACAAAAACAAAATTTCCCCCCATCCTCTTTGTTGTAATTGATTTTAACTATGTGTTCCAGGAAGAAATTAGTTATTTTTTCCAACTGCCCTTTGTATTAGAATTTAATTTCAGCAAGCAGAAGCAATTTTGGGGAGCCAGACATTCCAAATGACAATCAGAAAGAATTTTTTTCATTTTCCCACCGATCCTCGATGATTCAAACCTGCACTGAGATTTACCGGCAGGTGCATTATTGCCTGTATGTCCAAAAATATTTTGGGATAAAACACAACAGCTAAAATAAATAGTTTATACGCCCAATAGCAAGAAACTACTGTACTAATAAACTGCATAACAAGAGTCTACTCTTTCTGTCTGTAATACATAGGGCTATCTCAGTGTAGATTGTAGAATAGTAGATGAAGAGTCCTGCTAAAAGTTTTCCTGTTGACATAATTGAAATTCAGGCATTCGAAATATTTGCCCTCGTGGTTTTAAAACTCCAGACATCTCTGTACAGGACATTACATCTTAATTGATAGACAATTACAATACATTAATATTTCTTGGACATCTTTGACAAGATGAATGCAAAGTTGATCAACTTTAACCTTTTTAATCACGTGTTTTTTAGATACGAATTTTGATGGTTCGTTTATGTCGGAAAAATACAGCAATTCCATGGCAGTGCAGCAATTTTCAATGGATGAAAAATTTTGTAAACAGAATCGGAAACATTGGTTATTATCTTGAGGAAGAACCAGATCAGATCTATTTCTGCAACCATAGTGAAAGTGAATCAATGATTTTATCGCACAAAATCGATTAAAATCTCATAATATGCTTGTAGATGCCTCGTATGATTTGGTTTCGATTTTCGTTTTATTATTTTTCCACGATTTGTTTCCCCTTCAGACAGCCAAATCCGAACACGATGGCTGCAAATTTAAATACATTTTTATTCATGTGACTTTCGTTCCGGAAGTTGTAAGTTCCAAATAGTCCCTAAAACCTATGAATGGAACTGCCTCGTACATGATTTGGGAATCACGCAATGCGTGGAAAACCATCCTCCAGCACGGGATAGATTATCCGCTGAAATTATTGACCGGAAGTGCCTAACAAGTCCTTCCTTCTCTTCTCACTTCCTTTCTAAACGTCTGCTCGAAATGGGTTGTTCCAAAACTCGAAACTGATAAACCAAAACCTCCGTGTTGTATCTAGTTTTTTGTTGTTCTCTGCATAATAACGAAAAAATATTTCAAATTAAATACTTTAATGTACTGTACAGTACAGTAAATGGAAAGGTATTCCAAAAATGTCAGGCCTAAGATTGCTACCACGTTTCTCCGAAAATAGGCCAGGTCTTGCATCATTATCATGGCTTCCCGGAAAATGGGGCAGGGCTCATCATGAATATGTCTGATATTTGCATGTAATGAATGAGAAAATTCCATGAATCTGTATCGGAATGTGCTTCAAATATTTGAAGGATGGCAAATATTCTTTTATAGAATTTCTGTGCCCGAATGGTTAACGCAAATCATAGGATTAATATGATCAGTATTGATAATCTTTAATAATAATCCAAATCTGGCTATAATATATGTCTTCTATTTCGACATCAAATTTAAGCAATAAGCGACGTTTTTGAATTTCTGCTCGTACATACTCAGATACAGTACGTGAAAAACTAAAAATAGTTTTTGCATCAGACGAAACATCGATTGATTCGAAGCCAAGTTTAAATACTGTACACTTCGGGAATACTGTAGTTGGAATAATTTCATTTCTGACACAATCACATTTCTCCATCCAAGGGTATAGTTCAATAATGTTTGACTCCGCGGAAATTTAATGCCCAGATGGGAGAACTTTTTGAAAACCCATCGTATCTGCAAGCCGGACGTGATCTTATTTTGCATACCCCCTTCACTGCGTGACATTGTTATGAAAAAAATAAAACGTCGGGCTTCTGTGTGGCTCATTGCATTCGTTGCCGTGCTGTTTGGCCAAGTAGTATCCCGAATCCGGAAAGCTTTTGAATCAAGGAAAACGAAAGTTCAGAGTTGATATTCTATAAATCTTTTTCCCGCGATTCGCTCAACCAGCATGAAAGGGAACTCGGCAACACACAATAAGGTAATTTGAATAGAATTTTAACTCCGTTTACTGACAAAAGCATGTCGTTTTATGCGGATTTTCAAACGGACGGAAATTGCATCAAGGATTGGCCAAAATAATGTCGTTTCGAGATTTCAGACCAATTAATGAAGACCAGTTGCGCAACAAAAGAATATCTGAAGGGATTTCGTTGTTTGAACAGAAGGCGCTCATCATTGATACAATAAAAACATATGAATGCGAAATATGTTCTCTTGGGTCAGCAAAAATAGTTCAAGCTATTTCTGCCATACGAATGATGAACATATGCTTCAATGATGCACGATAAGTTGAAAGAAATCATCGTTTCTGAAACTAAATCTTTGAAGGACACATTTGAATTTTGGGTTTGAGACGATAGCCGTAAATTAAACGCTTAAAAAGGAATAAAATTATAACTTAACAGCAGACCTTCGCCAAAGCATCACGAAACCAAGCACGTGGAATGCAATAAACAGTAGGAAAAGCAATAAGAAATCTTGAGAAAACATGCTTGCTTCGAATCCGTACTTCGCCAGCACTTGAGTTCCATTCCTCATGCAAGGAACGTCTACTTCCGAAAATTCGCATTCTGCAACGGTGAATAGAAAATTTAAATTAAATTTGTTAACGATAGTGCAATCGACTTTCAACACTTGAACAATTTTCTGGCACACTTACCGATTTTTTCGATGCCCTCCCACTGAATTATCGACATAGCCTCGTTGCTGTACCTGAACCACGAAAGGTATTGCACCCAGTGAAGGAACCATGGAATCGATCTGCAAATTCAAACGAGACAATTTTGACGATTGATTCAGATTTCTCGATGATTTTGAATGCTCGAATTTCAGAGTTGAAAGTCTCTCATGGAATAATACGAAAATTGTTGGAATTTATTCGCAGTTATAGTGCCACAACTGACCTGAGATTTAGGAAAAATCCTCCGGTGACAACCTGACTGAACATGAACGGTGTGAGAACTATGACGATCATGTTCACAGTTTCAAATGACGCCGAGAAAAAGCAACCTGGAATCCGAAAAATGGTATAAGTCAAATCTCCTGAATTCTCTATTTCACGCACTGCTGTCAATCAAAAGTTACCTGCTGCGCAGGAAATATTTGCAACGATTATAATATTCAGTGCAGTCATGAAAAATGAGTAGAATCCTGATCGCATTCCAGCCATGAAGTAGGCGATTGTGGTGAACAAAAGTGGCTCAACAATCCCCACTTACCATTGTTACGACACATATTACTTGAATTCCTCAAAAGTTAAAATGCCCCACCTTGCCTTCATTAAACATTTATTAACAGAGGCATAAATCCAAAAACAATGTGAAAATGTATCTAAATTACAAATTTCCAAGTATATGCTCCAACATAAAACTCAGTGCATTTGATAATAATTTGAATTGTTTGGTTAGGATAGGAATGGGCACAAAAATGCCAGTTGTTCAACTCATGGCACAAATGATGTACATATCCTAAGAAATTCATGATGATGAAGTATGTGTCTGTGTTAAAAACAGAATTTTCTCATTATAATTTCAACTTAAACTTGGATTGCATGTCAAAATTACATCCACTTATTCCATTTATTAAAAAAGTCACCAAATTTTAACCCATGCTGTGTGGATTACTTGGGATATTCTAAAAAATGTGGTGCCCATACCATGAGCACTTGAAACAAATTGTATTTCTGAATGAATGCTCAAGTGAGGAAAAATTTCAATTCAGTAATGTATTCCAATCCTGCCGAAAAGTTTGATTAAGATTTAGAAATTGTCTTAAATTTTTACAGTGTCATCATTGCAAAAAAACTTGCAGTGTTCACATTGGAATGTAGTGAGAGGCTCCACAAAAAAGCAAAGAGAAACAACATTCAGCAACTTGGAAATATCTTGATTACCTCCAAAATGTTTATATAGACTATATAGAGCAATTAGCAATCTAGAAAATACATATTGAAACTGTCAAGTTTCTTATATTAAAATATGGCAAGAATTCAAGATGAAGACATATTTTCCCACTACAAGATACACATGGATATGTAAAGAATAACAATCTCACTTTGCTACACTCCTACACTCCTGCTACTAGAATTCCTCATAGAAATTATGGCTTGGACAAGATACCCTTGGCCTGGTGCACAGTAGAAAATTTCAGGGGGGGGGGGGGGGGGGGGGGGTATCTTTCTGTTTCCCAGGATGCAAGGNGGGGGGGGGGGGTGCGGGGGGATATCTTTCTGTTTCCCAGGATGCAAGGTGAAAAAGTTTTTTTTTAGGGGTGTGTTCAAAAAGAATCTTCGTTGCAAAAAAGGGACATTTGGATTTATGGAACCCAGAACAATGAAAAAGGGGGAGGGGATAAGGAGGCACAGCAGGGAATGAATTAAATAAAATTAATTTTCTACATCACAATTGTTTATAAATCACTGCATTTTCAGAAATAAAATATTGTAATTTTCAAACACCACAAAAATCTCTTCAGAAGATTTTTGAAGCCACCACAGGCTTTTGAAGTGGGGACAGGACTCACAGAAGAGACACTTTTATGCCACCACCAGGGCATGACTGAATTGAAATCTTGGATTGGATTTTTCCTTCCTATGATGTCTGTGACGCTGCATTTCCTGTTTTTGATAATACGCCTGGATATATTTTAATACAGGAATTGTGTTCTCAAAACCAAGGACATGTCCGTGATTTGGTTTCCTGTTAAAGGGTTTCTATGTGCATGCACATAGAAACCAATTTATTTCAAGCACACTGCAGTGTGCTTGAATTGATTTAGCGATGCCTAATTTTTGAAATTTTTAATACTTTTATCTTTTATGCTTTTGCAAACTTTTCATACTCTCTCAAAAGTTTGAATTCTCCAGCTCGCGGAATTTTTAATTTGAAATTCACCAGCTTGGGGAATTTCATTTTTGAATTTTCAGGGGGCCTATTTGCCTGGTGGGCCTAGTGCTACAGCATCAATAGCACCCACCTTAATCCGACCCTGTTTCTGAACCTATATCTTTGAAGGACACATTTGAATTTTGGGTTCAAGACGATAGCCGTAAATTCAATGCTTAAAAATGAATAAAATTATAACTTAACAGCAGACCTTCGCCAAAGCATCACGAAACCAAGCACGTGGAATGCAATAAACAGTAGGAAAAGCAATAAGAAATCTTGAGAAAACATGCTTGCTTCGAATCCGTACTTCGCCAGCACCTGAGTTCCATTCCTCATGCAAGGAACGTCTACCTCCGAAAATTCGCATTCTGCAATGGTGAATAGAAAATTTTAAATAAGTTTTTTCAACGATAGTGCAATGGAACAATTTTCTGGCACACTTACCGATTTTTTCGATTCCCTCCCACTGAATTATCGACATAGCCTCATTGCTGTACCTGAACCACGAAAGGTATTGCACCCAGTGAAGGAACCATGGAATCGATCTGCAAATTCAAACGTGAAAATTTTGACCATAAATTCAGATTTCCCGATGATTTTGAATGCTCGAATTTCAGAGTTGAAAGTCTCTCATGGAATAATTTGAAAATTTTTTGAAATTTATTCGCAGTTTTAGTGCCACAACTGACCTGAGATTAAGGAAAAATCCTCCGGTGACAACCTGACTGAACATGAACGGTGTGAGAACGATGACGATCATGTTCACAGTTTCAAATGTCGCCGAGAAAAAGCAACCTAGAATCCGAAAAATGGTATAAGTCAAATCTCCTGAATTCTCTATTTCACGCACTGTCAATCAAAAGTTACCTGCTGCGCAGGAAATATTTGCAACGATTATAATATTCAGTGCAGTCATGAAAAATGAGTAGAATCCTGATCGCATTCCAGCCATGAAGTAGGCGATTGTGGTGAACAAAAGTGGCTCAACAACGAAACCAGGAATCTGAAAATAGAGATTTTCCAATCAAATATTCTTACGCACGAACGCTGAAAGAATATTTGCACAATACGATTACTGTACAGTGGTACCATGGAGAATAAAAATTTCGCATATCTGTTCCCACGCAATCCATTGTGGCAGTCCATGGATTTTTGTCTCGGATACGGGATTCTACTTAAAATAAACTAATATAATAAACTGCATTGAATTATATTTATTGAATAACAAAGTAAGAAATTTTTCCCGATATCTGGAGCGCATTATTCATTTCATATACAGTACCTTAAAATGATTTACTGTAGTGGAAAGACTCTGAGAGACCTTGAACTCATGTGCAATTTTATATACCTTTCAATGACTCGATTCAGACTTTTTGAAGAACGGAATTTCCACTAAAACATTAAAATCCAATTACGGTAATTGAAGCACCTGTGCATTTTGTAAACTTGAAAAACTGTAAATATTTGACTTTTAAATGGTAGATAAAGCCAAGTTACTGTAATTCTGCACACTGTTTTCCCCAATACAAAATGGGTGGATCTTCAGAACTGAATCCTGATTAATGTTTCCCGCAATTTTTTCAACTTATTTTTTTCCTGGATCACATGAAAAGAAAATAAGTATAAAAAAGCGGATTGAATGCAATTGCACTCTCATTTTATTTGAATGAAAATTTCAGTTGTTTTTATTCTTATAGTTAAAGCTCCTTTAACTGAAAACTCGGGCGACTGTTTTGAACGGGGATTCGTTTTTATCTAATTTTGCTCAAAAATGAATGTGCGCATCTTGAGCAAGGGCAAGTGATACTCGGATAAATATGGTAGGATTAAATTCCTGAACCTCATAACATAAGACTTTCTTACTAAAGAAACGGCCTTTGACAAGTAATACGCATCCAGTCGATAGACAGCGTTCCGATACTCTCTGGTGAAGACCAGCAACTCGGCTGGAAATACTTGTATCACTGCGTAAGTGCTCAAGAAGCTGCTTTCTGTGAGGAAGACGAAGATGCAACCCTCGGTATCCTGGATTCCTTTCTGATTCAACGTCAAGCCCATGTAAATGAATCCGATGCAGACGGCGAGCAACTACCACGGTAAAAAAAAATCAAATACGGTTGGTCAATATTGAATTTTCATGGGTTTTGAAATCTTTGAGGGTGGAATCTGAAGATTCGAACACGTGCATTCACTTTACAGAAAACAATTTGTTCATCAAAAATCTTGAATCAAAGCTTCAATTATATGCTGGATGTACAGTATTTTTGGTATATTAAAATTACGATATTCGCGAACGGCGACGCATTTATTCCTCGGCATTCTTCAAAGGTGTGCATTATTGGAGAAGCTTTTAAAAATATTACTATAAGTGATTGGAAAGCTTTCTTGTAACCTAAAAAAGCTTTATACCATGTTTCACAATGAATTGCGAGTTTTACTTTTTATGGGAACGTCAGCATTCAAGACGGGCATATGATGTATGTAAATAATCGGTAATGAAAATGACCACAGAAAATTTTAAATCGTCTCATGCTACTGAAATACTGCACCTTACATAAAGAAGACCTTTCCAACGCGAAGCTGGTAAATGATTTCATCACGATTCAAACAACTCTCCGTGTTCAGCATTTTTACCCGACAATTGGGTCGTATTTACAGCGTACTTTGAGCCCGACGAGTGATAAAAAAATTGAATGAAAGATACCAATAAAATATGCTCACAATTTTTTGCACAAATCGGAGTTTTAGTATGGCTGGATTCCGGAGGGTGTCCACACCAGATCTCCAAGTCAGTAGTCGGCATTGTCTCCAAAATCCTGGTCTCCTCCTAAAGGTGATTTTGCATAAAAATTATTCGCGGAATAGAGCAAGTCTGAAATTGTTAGGGCGCGAAAGCGAGAAAATACGAGCACGCAAACTTTGAAACATCAAATTGTAGGTTGGTTTAGTCTAATAAAGGTCATTTTAGATTAGTCCGAGTTAGTGTAAGTACTGTAGCTTAAATTCGTCCCATTAGGTAAATTCGGTTGTTATTCCAGCTCTTTTGTGCTCAGTACAGTGTTTGCTTTCCTGGAAATTTTCTCACTCGATGTTCGCTATTTCGAGATATTACTTTGGAAAGTAGAACTCCACGGTTTTCTTATGACATGCACCTTTATTAAAAATACTATTCGCTTCCTGCATAGCAGAGTAGATTCTCATTAAAACGAGGAATCATCTCGCGTAATAAACGAATAATTGATTGCACCGAATTTATTTTCTAGAATCTAGATCACTGTCCCATTTTATTTGAATTCTCTTATAATGATTTTTCTCATTACGAAGAAGCTATTTTACTGGTCCCAATGACTTTGTTGTAAGGAGATTTTACTGAACTGTATAGAGTTTATGAAAAGGAATGCAGCGACATCTCTGCAAACTTTAAAAAAATAAGAGGTACGTACAAATCGACTTGGACGTGGGAGTCGTAGCGGAAGTCCTGTATTCGAAGGGAAGATCCGACATTTTTATTTTAATTATTTCAAGCATTTGAGAATTTCACAAGGGCTCACTGACACCGGAGTCGGAGCTGCAAAGGTTCACGTTGCCGAAATACTGAACAATGCTGTTGATTTCGCCGGCGTAACTCGAGACGGCGAACGAATCGCAAATCCGCTTGAGTATGTCCCTAGACTTGAGCTCCTGTCCCGGCACCACCGACAGCGTGTGTATGTAATAATCTGCCGGATTGAATGTCGACGGACACTTGTGGCCCAAACTGAGCAAACCACGAGAAACAAGAGAGAAAAACATGAATTTTTAATAATCGTTAAAAAAATACTATCTCGGCATTTCATCGCGGTGCATCAATGAGCAAATTGTATCATGAGAAAATAATGCCTTCGTGAGAGACGACAGAGAAAACTCTAACGTAGTTGCGAATAAGGTCGGGAAGAAATTCCACCGTAAAATGGAGAGATAAGGTACTGGGTGCAGGAGAAAAATGGCATCCTCTTTTTTAGGGCGCCGGGCTTTTAGGGCACTCCGGCTATTAGGGCATCCGGTTTTTTAGAGCGCCCCCGGCTTTTAGGGCATCCATGCTTTTAGGGCATATTTCTAATACAAAATTGTGATATTATCTCTTGAGTTTTCCATATATGTAGATATCAAAGAGTGTTTTTCTTATGTAAAAATTCATTTTTTGAGGGCAAAGTAGAACTGAAAATAATTGGAAAAGTGAACAGTTTACATGCAAAACAAATGCAGGGACAAAGTCTTGATCCAAATGAAAGTTACATTTTTCTCAGGTTTCCTCTCGAGAAAGGCGAGGAAGTGAAGTTGAGGCTCTATTGACAAATGTGATTCCTAAACCTTGGAAAGAAACCCCTTGCACTTTCCCCATTTCATAATCCACCATATTTGCATTCCTCCCAGCCAGTTGGAAAGAAAACTTGGAGATAATATCACAATTTTGTTGTATACGGGATTTTCGGACTCCGCGAGATTTTTTGGCCTACGGGATTATCGGCCTCACGGGATTTTCGGGCCGCGGGATTTTTTCTCCTACGGGATTTCATCATGGAGCCAAGGTACTATAATTTCCTTGGGTCTCGCTTCACATTGCATTTAAGGGTATGTTTTCATCACATTTTCTGCGTTGCTGCCACTAATTTTCAGAAGGAATGGTCTCTTTATTTTTTTCGCTTTGTAATAATGTTTCACTGAAGTGGATTTTCCGATAATTTTCTTTCATGTCGCTTCCTCTCTGTCGCATTTCTTTTCATATACGTACAGTAATATTATATCAGTCGACTTTGCTTTAAATTTGCTATCCCCGGCATTTTTATTAGCCAGTAAAGTATTAATTTTGAGAATCACAGAATAATTTTTTTAAACATTAAAGTACCTGCGTGGATAACATACGGTAATCTTAAGATTAGTTCACCTTCGGAATTTTATGGCGCAGAATTTTCTCCTGCAAAATTTAATAGCTTTTTCAGGAAGCCGCAAAAATGGTTGAGTTGACGACATTCCAGCGCCACGTGAAAATACCGGTGCAGGAGAAATTTTTGGGAGATGAAATGCTCGTGAGAGAGAATGCCGGGAAGTAAAATGGTTTTTTTTTTTAAGGACTAGACGAAGTCAATTCTCCAACGCATTTTTGCCGTTGTTGAGCGTGATGAAAACCAAATAATGATCATGGGCAATCTCGCCGATAAATTTTGGTGGCTGACATTGATTCAGTTTCGTGATTGCTTTTCTTTCGGCATTGATTTCATCTGCTGTTAAATTCTCTCTCCTGGCCTTTTCTCCTCATCCCTATAAGGGTGTACTCTCTTTTTCTCTATACGAATCTTGTAAATAATGATTTTATCTGCATAAAATGTTTTTTTTTTGTGGCCTCGCAGGATTCTCTTCACATGTTACAGACGTTCTCCACAACTAAATATTCTCTATAATAACGAATTCTTTTCTGGTCCCCAGCAGAAGTTTGTTGCAGAAAGAGTCCATTTGTATGAACACGGAAATATGCTTATTTTCAGCGCTATCCAGCGACATCTACATTCAAAAATCAATCAATATAAAATGCCCTGTACTTTTGAGTTGGCTCATTTCATATACAGTACTCGTATGCGAATCGTGCCTTTCGAAAAACTGCATGCACTCGAAGGAAGAACCGAGGAATGCCGTTCGTCCTTCAGCCAAAAGCATGATCTGATCGAAGACCTCGAACACTTCAGACGAAGGCTGGTGAATAGTGCAGATGACTGTTTTGCCCTTGGCTGCCATGTCCTTCAGCATCCCGATCAGCAAGAGCGCGTTAAACGAATCTAATCCGGTTGTGAGTTCGTCACAGAATAACACCGGCGGGTCAGAAAGTATCTTCCAGAGAAAAGCATGCAAAAGAAACATGTGTTGAAATATTGTTTTTTTTCGTATCTACACGAAAGAAAAAAATGAGATCAACCTCGACAGCGAAAGCCAGGCGTTTTCGTTCCCCTCCCGACAATGCCCCGGATTTCGAGAATTCTCCGATCCGGGATTCTTGGCAACCACGAAGGCCGAGCTCTTGCAGTAATTCTTCCACGCGAATTTTTTTCTGATACTCGCTAGTTCGTCTATCGAGCTTCAATGAAGCCTGCCAAACACAATAAAAAAACAGGATAGAGAGCATGACATTCAATTTCCAATTTCAAAGAAACCAAAGCCGTTCCGCCAGAACGTACAGCAAATGACACAACAGAGGGAATGCTTGAACTGAATAATACAATTGGAAAATAGAGATTCAACTACCGATTTACTTATACCATTCCAGCAATCAACAGCCACGATTTGCGAAACAGCCACACGGCTGAGCTAAATAAACAAGCTCATGGAAAGTGAATTTCAATGAATGATTGTCTGTTAATTAATTTCTTCGTGAAGTCTATTTCGATTTCGTATCGTTAATATTTTTATCAATCATCCTCAGATTTAATAAATCATGACACTGTCATTTGAAATATTGTTGTGTCTTTTCGCGTTAGTGCAGTACAATGAAGTGATGAATACGAAACCTGTGATTAAGTTTTGCCATATTCATTTTTTTCGGGCCACTCTCAATTTTTTGAATATTTCTCCAGAATAATTTTTACAGCTGTGTCCCATCAATAGGTCGATAAATTCTTCCGTCGAGGAAATCAATTCATCTGTACACACAAAAAGAAAAACTTACCATGATTGTGAGATGCCCNAGAGGATAACCAGGCTGGAGGTGAGAAAACCAATTTAAGGCAACTTAAACCAATAAAAATAACTAAATGATGCGTAAATTGTGCACAATTAAAACAAAAGAAAATGTACACTGGTATCTGTGTTCAGCAAGCACGCTTTCAATTTGCAAAAAGAGAAAGGATATACTGTAATTACTGTATTGGCATGTGTGTATGATCCCAGAAGCCGCAGTAAATCGGCATATTCCTTGAAAATTTTTTTTCTTCGATGAAAAGCGTATTCGAATGGTAAAAATACGCTACTTGGAATTTGAAAGAAAATGTAAACGTTATTTCACAGTCTAGGAATTATTTTCTATCCATTTCCTATTTTCATAAATTTTTACAACGAGCGTCTGAGTTTTAAAAAATCGGCTTATTTTCTACTCTTGAATTCATAATCATAAAAATATTCTTGGACCGTGAAATAACGAGAGGAATTTCTTGTGAAATTCATGTGAATATATTTATAAATCCAAAAATTCGGGTAGAACGCTTTTTTCTTATTATATAATCTGGATTGAGGGCTATACACATTTTTAGTTCTATACCATCATCATAAAACAAAATACGTACGAGAAGTAAATAATGGGAGCCATACGTGTAGAAAATTTCCATTTCATGTACTGAGCAATACTTTGAAATACTGATATCAAGGGTGAGAAAATATATGAGTTGCAAGACTGGTGTGTCATCAGTTACGTCAGAACATAATCACTTCGAAGTTCTGCATTTTTATCCTTCTTTCCCAGTTTGAGGCGGAACACATTTTTTCATAAATCTTACACGAACGGATTTTTCTGTAATTTTGACATGCTCGGTTTAGTCGGGATTTTCAAAACGTTCTAAATTTTCGTGGCTGCCACGTCCTACAGAATCAAGTTTGTGGGCCCGTAATATTTTATTTAATGAATAAACGAAAGTTTTTCAAGCCGTTCAAAAATGTTCCACGAACCATTCTGATGATGATTTAGTAAATTTTCCGTCTTGCTGAAAAAATCACATACGTTATATGCACTTCGAATGGAATCACGTTGAAGACTACATGCTTTCCAAGACTCTGACGTTGCCCTGAGCTGCTACTCGAATCCCTCGCGTTTCGTCTCAAATTTCCGTTTGCAGATTAACAAAAAAAAAATACGAAAAAAGCTATGGAAGCACCTCATTGAGAAGCATGAGTATATAACGCAAAGAACCCGAAGCCAATCTTTGTTTGTTTCTGCAGGAAATCTTGGTAAAACGGTTAAATGACTCCGTTTATAGAAACATCCTGAAGAAAACGTGCGAATCACTTTTTTCGGAATCGATATCTTGGAGTAGTAATCGCGTAAGTTTTTCCAGCAAAATTCCAGGCGAATTTCAACGTGCAGTACAACTCAAACCCTGCCTTTTTCACCAGAAAGCAAATTTATTTAAAATCAATGTAAAAATACGCTATTTTGGATTTGAAAGAAAATTTAAACGTTATTTCACGGTATTATGGAGCATAGACGTCTCAGGTCTGTATGTTCACCGAATTCCGAGTGCATTAAACTTATGAATCAAATATGTATTAAAAAAAAGGAGGCGGAGAAGATGAAAAGCTTTGAAAGACATTCGTCTGGGAACTTATCTAATACATTTTGGCTCAACTGCTAACAAATTGTCGGAAAAGATGCATCGTATAATAATAATCTGTCTGAAAACCCGAGAAGGTGATTTGCTGACGAGGAATCTTGTAGCAAGTCAATGTCGGGAACTGAACCCTTTAAGATGGTATTTACAACTTACACGCGTTCGCCGGCAGAATAACAGCAGCAACAATCGCTGCCGCTTCCATTAAATTTTAAAATAATCTGCTGAATTAGGTCGATTTTATAAGACATACTTATTGAGGCTATAAACTGGGTTCCTGAAACCAGTTTTTATCATGGCCTATAAAAATCCAAGCTGATGACCATAAGATCAGAAAAAAATCTTGCTCCTTTGTCATCGAACGACGACGCAAAAAGTTGCCGGTTTCAGTCAACTAGAAAAACTAAACACAATTTATATTTAAAATGCAAAATTTTGTGCCACTTTATTCCAAGATGAAGAAAAAAAATCTTTTTTGTGGTTCACTGTGAGGATCAGAATTTTTCGGATTACTTCAATCGGTTTTTCGAACAATTTATTTCATTTTTGCTGTTCAGCTATAGAGATCAACTATACGTGAAAACAGTGTTTTGAAACTATTCTCCAAAAATTTAGTATTTCAGGAAATTACGAGCGGCATTCAAGCGATGTATTTTACAATATTTCTCTTCCAATCGTCAAAAAATATTTGTTAAATCTACAAACGGATTTTCCCTTTAAAAGCTGAGTCACCGCTTTTCATCGAAATCTTCTAGCTTCTTCATTGACTTTTGGGGGAAAACCAAAACTTGGTTTTAGTTTATAAAACCAATCTTCTTGCAAAGTGAAGCCTCATTGATATACCGTAAATAATTCTCCGATCCGGGATTCTTGGCAACCACGAAGGCCGAGCTCTTGCAGTAATTCTTCCACGCGAATTTTTTTCTGATACTCGCTAGTTCGTCTATCGAGCTTCAATGAAGCCTGCCAAACACAATAAAAAAACAGGATAGAGAGCATGACATTCAATTTCCAATTTCAAAGAAACCAAAGCCGTTCCGCCAGAACGTACAGCAAATGACACAACAGAGGGAATGCTTGAATTGAATAATACAATTGGAAAATAGAGATTCAACTACCGATTTACTTATACCACTCCAGCAATCAACAGAAGACGCAGCCACGATTTGCGAAACAGCCACACGACTGAGTTAAATAAACAAGCTCACGAAAAGTGAATTTCAATGAATGATTGTCTGTTAATTAATTTCTTCGTGAAGTCTATTTCGATTTCGTATCGTTAATATTCGTACCAATCATCCTGAGATTTAATAAATCATGACACTGTCATTTGAAATATTGTTGTGTCTTTTCGCGTTAGTGCAGTACAATGAATTAATAAATACGAAAGCTGTGATGAAGTTTTGGCATTTTCATTTTTTTTCGGGCCACTCTCAATTTTTTGAATATTTCTCCAGAAAAATTTTTACAGCTGTGTCCCATCAATAGGTAGATAAATTCTTCCGTCGAGGAAATCGATTCGTCTGTACACACACAAAAAGAAAAACTCACCATGATTGTGAGATGCTCCCGAGCTGTTAAAGTCGGAATAAATACGTCGTCTTGGTACACGAATCCGCTGAAATCCGCCATTTTCTTGGTCATCGTTTGTCCATTGACAAGCACTTGACCATCAACGATAACCTTGTTGGCATACCTATTAGCAATGGCTTGGAGAAACGTAGATTTTCCAGCTCCGCTGCAACGAATTCAATCCTTTTTCATCATTCAAATCCACAAAAAGCATAAAATCATCTGTACCTGGATCCCATGACAGCCAACAAACTTCCGGGTTTGACAGAGCCCGTGACTAAATGAAAAATGAAAATTAGGCTCACAGTGCGGCGAATTGGGCAATTATGCGAACTGCTCACTGTTGTTGACGACCCTTTTAAACGGAGGCAGTTTTCGGACCTCAGGCTTGTTTTTGCCTCCACTATTGTGGTCCCAAACCCGAATTTTTTTGTTCGGGACGTACACGTTTAAATCTCGCCATGTTAGCGTTATTCCGATGTCATCAATGGTTGAAATTGCCGGACGTCTGCCGACTGGGATCAGAGGATAACCAGGCTGGAGGTGAGAAAACCAATTTAAGGCAACTTAAACCAATAAAAATAACTAAATGATGCGTAAATTGTGCACAATTAAAACAAAAGAAAATGTACACTGGTATCTGTGTTCAGCAAGCACGCTTTCAATTTGCAAAAAGAGAAAGGATATACTGTAATTACTGTATCGGCATGTGTGTATGATCCCAGAAGCCGCAGTAAATCGGCATATTCCTTGAAAATTTTTTTTCTTCGAGGAAAAGCGTATTCGAATGGTAAAAATACGCTACTTGGAATTTGAAAGAAAATGTAAACGTTATTTCACAGTCAAGGAATTATTTTCTATCCATTTTCTATTTTCATAAATTTTTACAACGAGCGTCTGAGTTTTAAAAAATCGGCTTATTTTCTACTCTTGAATTCATAATCATAAAAAATATTCTTGGACCGTGAAATAACGAGAGTAATTTCTAGTGAAATTCATGTGAATATATTTATAAATCCAAAAATTCGGGTAGAACGCTTTTTTCTTATTATATAATCTGGATTGAGGGCTATACACATTTTTAGTTCGATACCATCATCATAAAACAAAATACGTACGAGAAGTAAATAATGGGAGCCATACGTGTAGAAAATTTCCACTTCATGTACTGAGCAATACTTTGAAATACTGATATCAAGGGTGAGAAAATATATGAGTTGCAAGACTGGTGTGTCATCAGTTACGTCAGAACATAATCACTTCGAAGTTCTGTATTTTTATCCTTCTTTCCCAGTTTGAGGCGGAACAAATTTTTTCATAAATCTTACACGAACGGATTTTTCTGTAATTTTGACATGCTCGGTTTAGTCGGGATTTTCAAAACGTTCTAAATTTTCGTGGCTGCCACGTCTAACAGAATCAAGTTTGTGGACCCGTAATATTTTATTTAATGAATAAACGAAAAATTTTCAAGCCGTTCAAAAATGTTCCACGAACCATTCTGATGATGATTTAGTAAATTTTCCGTCTTGCTGAAAAAATCACATACGTTATATGCACTTCGAATGGAATCACGTTGAAGACTACATGCTTTCCATGACTCTGACGTTGCCCTGAGCTGCTACTCGAATCCCTCGCGTTTCGTCTCAAATTTCCGTTTGCAGATTAACAAAAAAAAAAAACGAAAAAAAGCTATGGAAGCACCTCATTGAGAAGCATGAGTATATAACGCGAAGAACCCGAAGCCAATCTTTGTTTGTTTCTTCAGGAATCTTGGTAAAACGGATAAATGACTCCGTTTGTAGAAACATCCTGAAGAAAACGTGCGAATCACTTTTTTCGGAATCGATATCTTGAAGTAGTAATCGCATAAGTTTTTGCAGCAAAATTCCAGGCGAATTTCAACGTGCAGTACAACTCAAACCCTGCCTTTTTTCACCAGAAAGCAAATGAATTTGAAATCAATGTAAAAATACGCTACTTTGGATTTGAAAGAAAATTTAAACGTTATTTCACGGTATTATGGAGCATAGACGTCTCAGGTCTGTATGTTCACCGAATTCCGAGTGCATTAAACTTATGAATCAAATATTTATTTTAAAAAAGGAGGCGGAGAAGATGAAAAGCTTTGAAAGACATTCGTCTGGGAACTTATCTAATACATTTTGGCTCAACTGCTAACAAATTGTCGGAAAAGATGCATCCTATAATAATAATCTGTCTGAAAACCCGAGAAGGTGATTTGCTGACGAGGAATCTTGTTGCAAGTCAATGTCGGGAACTGAACCCTTTAAGATGGCATTTACAACTTACACGCGTTCGCCGGCAGAATAACAGCAGCAACAATCCCTGCCGCTTCCATTAAATTTTAAAATAATCTGCTGAATTAGGTCGATTTTATAAGACGTACTTATTGAGGCTATCAACTGGGTTCCTGAAACCAGTTTTTATCATCGCCTATAAAAATCCGAGCTGACGACCATAAGATCAGAAAAAAATCTTGCTCCTTTGTCATGGAACGACGACACGAAAAGTTGCCGGTTTCAGTCAACTAGAAAAACTAAACACAATTTATATTTAAAACGCAAACTTTTGTGCCGCTTTATTCCAAGATGAAGAAAAAAATCTTTTTCGTGGTTCACTGTGAGGATCAGAATTTTTCGGATAACTTCAATCGGTTTTTCGAAAAATTTGTTTCATTTTTGCTGTTCAGCTATAGAGATCAACTATACGTGAAAACAGTGTTTTGAAACTATTCTCCAAAAATTTAGTATTTCCGGAAATTACGAGCGGCATTCAAGCGATGTATTTTACAATATTTCTCTTCCAATCGTCAAAAAATATTTGTTATATCTACGAACGGATTTTCCGTTTAAAGGCTGAGTCACCGCTTTTCATCGAAATCTTCTAGCTTCTTCATTGACTTTTGGGGGAAAACCAAAACTTGGTTTTAGTTTATAAAACCAATCTTCTTGCAAAGTGAAGCCTCATTGATATACCGTAAATGCGACAAGTCACAAAAGTCGGGGGTTTTTACAAAAAAGACCGATGGCATCCTATATTTTATGTTAATACGGTATTTCAATGTCAAACTATTTCTTCTCAGCATTGTCTCTTTGTTATGGCTGAAGTACATCTGTAATCGTGAGTGGATTCCTCTATAGAAAAAATAAGGAATTCACGTTTTTCGCATAACAGAGTTCTCTGGTAAGTCCAATTGTTATTCGCGCCAAGAATAACTGGATCGAAAATATCTTGAGAAAAATGTTTAATCTTCAACTTGAGTTATGAACTTCTCAATTATTTAAAATTTCTCCTGACGCACTGCGAGATTTCTTGGTATAATGCAAGAGTTATCTACTCAGGGTCTTCTTGAAACTTTTACCTCTTGTACGAGGAAATGTATTCACTTATCTGTTTTATTTCATTATCCGTGCAATAACAGTTACCTTACTTATTTCCCCCAGATAATCAGAGTTCTGGTGCATATTTTGCTTTCTCGTCTGAATTTTTTGGCACTTCAAAGGAATCCTCGACAGCAATAGGCCAATCATTAAAACTTTGCATTTCCTTCTGCCAGACCCAAGCGACTGGCCGTATCTTATTGGCGGGATCAATGCCGTCTCATCAAGTAGGGCTTGCTGCTGGTTAGTTTCACTTCATAACTTATCCAGAGAATTCCAAGGGAGGTTCAAGTCTGATGAACTGATAGTCCGCCTTATTGCTCCCTGAAGCTGCCCTGATGCGCAGACCGCTTCGAGTGCGCAGTTGTGCGGCCTGTGCATTCACTCTTCTTTTTATAATAAAAAAAAAATATAGTAATTGCTGTGCGATTGACAAGGAATTTTTATCGCTGTTTTTTCGACTTTGGGAGCATCTAAGAAACCTTCAAATTGGAATTGCGCTGGTGACCTACTGTGATCCATTAAATTTTTTATTATTATATATTTTTTCATTTTTTGAAGAAAGAACTCTGAAACATGTCCGAACTTCTTTAACTCAGGTGGCTCCGTATTTTTTTTTTAAATCAGCTTAAGGGAAATTAAAATCTTAATACGAGTTGCTTCAAATGAAAATGTTGATTGAAAAAAAAATAGCAGGGATATTTCTCATCGATGTCTGTGCAGTGGAATTAGAACCCAATTCCAAAAGCATCCTGCAGGAAGTCAAATCGCTTCTCCGGCGTGATATATAATGCTCAGGACTGGAATACAGTACAGTATTCCGCGATGTGATTGCTCCTAAAAATTCTCCATTATTCCGGGAAATAATTGTTTAAACTAAAATCTGAAAAAAAAAATCAGTTTCCAGGGTCAGGGTTCCGGGTACTCGAGCATATTGCTTTTAACTGGAGTGCAATTATCAGGAGTGATCTTCAAACATGGCTCCAGGAGAAGGACAAAAACACATGCGAGTGGTGAGTTATTATTTCAGTTATTTTTGTCCACCTGAATGAAATTGTTTGTGCAAACCCCATTTTTTAAATGAGATAGATACAAGTATTCCACTTGGAATCATGCGCGTACCTATTTTTTTTTTACTGTGGGCGAATGTGTCCCTTAATTTTTTTGGAACATTTGTTCTTGCGTGCTTCAATTTACCAAAAAATGCTTTTCACATATCTTTGGATGCACATGAGCAAAAATGGTCCACGCTGAAAAGAAAAAAGGCGTAGTTTCTTATTGATTCTGTTCAATAAATTGAGAATAAATTGCTGCATAAATCTTGAAGTGGAGTTGACCAAAACGAATTCAACACAGTACGGTGACCAAACCAGTTTTTATTCGTATTTTTTTAATGAAAAAACTAACAATTTGAACTGAAGGACTTCACCAAGAAGGAAGAGGATTCTTATAATTTTATTTCAGAGGAATAAATGAAAAATTAAACGTACGCTCAAAATACCATAAGTTAAGAATTGATTTTGATACTCAAATCCAGGTTTATATCAGAAAATACTTTTTTAACGAATATTAGTGCCTGCTGTATACATATCTCATCTTTTAATCATTTCTCAATACGATTTTTTTACTGAATTGGCTGAATATTGTCAAAGAAAGAAAAAGTTCTGAATCATATTTTTATAGTAAAACTTCCTCGGGATTTTTCAGTCCATTTTTATTTTTCTTCTTCAACCATTTTGGAAATATTTCAATAAGAGCCTTTTCTTTCCATGTCTTCTGTTAAAGTGGCAAAAAAATGCGTGTAACATTTTGGGAATGCCACTCACATACTTTCTTTATTCATGCTAGCTTTACAAATGCAGACAGAAGTCGTAAGTATTTCAAAATTGAAGCATGGGATTGACACATGGTTTAATTATATATTTAACGTAATTACTTTTAATCTTGGTAATTCGATGATTGAATTTATTGCCATCTCAAATTCCTTCATTATTGCGCTGAAAAAAATGTGTGGCCCCCAATCTGTTTTACATTTTTAATAAGAAACAAATATACTGTATTCAAAATATGGAATATTTACCGTCGGTGGGTTTCTCCTATGAAACCGAGGAAGTTCAATTTTGATTTGAAAAAATTCGAAGTGAGGGCTAGGATCAGCCATCTATAGGATAAATTGTGTCTATACGATCGCGATTTACTTAGACGAGGGAGAAACTGCCTGAAATACTTTGTAAATTTCTCGTTATTGAATGATTTCATTTCCGTGTGAATTCCAAATGATTATCCAGTCATGCAGCACTGCAAACTGCATGGGAATGTCTGTGATATCATGACAGATCATTCGACATCATTTTTACGGTTCAATACAAGTTTGTAACATAATCTTATATTATATCCTGACAAATGCATATGCAGTCGGTGACTATCCGGCATATAATCAGATTTCTAACGTAGTTCAACGCGAAGGAGAATACAAACGAAGCCTGTGATTGCAGCTCACTACAATATCCAGCGAGAAAAAAATAAGAACAAAAACAAAAAAGATATCCAGGAGATTCAAAGAAAGTCTGTCAGATCCGGGGGCTCGTCAACCGCGTTTTTAATCACTCGGCCCACTCGCGCCGCGTCCGATCAATTGATACTGAGCTTCGATTCCCGACCCAACCATGAATCTAACCCGCCAATCGACTCACCTTAACTGATTAAACGAACCACTTTTAAACTGTTCAAAACTTAGAGTTCAAAGTAAAAAAAAAAAAGGGGGGGGGGGGGGGGGGGGCAAATTTTGTTTGCTTTGTTTGGTGGAGGAGTTGTTCCTGTGGCTGTGCTCGTCCTTTAAGGATGGTTAGTTTCCATACTGGCTACGATGACCTTTTTTTGTGCTTTTTTCCTTTGCGATTTTATTTTCGTTTTCTGTTGTTGTTACCCTTGCTCCCGGGGGAAATTATATATATCTTGTATAAGGTGAGATAAAAATATTGAAAAAAAAATTGTGGGAATGTTGCTTTGTAAGTATAGCCCAGTTACAGGGAAGCGAATTTTAATGCTGAGCTGGTTGAAGGCTTGTTTAGTACCATGTTACACCAAAAAGTAAGGTCGATTGCACTGCATTATTGTAAATTATGTTTTTCCTATACAGATTTTTTGAGGAGGACGAAACCAGAAAATTTATGAATTAGATTTGTGAATAAGGTTTTGAGTAAGATTGGGAAAAATTTTTGAGCACGCGCAGTTATAAATTTCTTGAAATGTAATTGATGAAAGGCAGATTAGACCAGAAAGATATATTAATTTTTGTTCGGGATTTATTTATTTTCAGGTTCGAGATTGATTTTCACGTAAGTGCAAGGGCTATCAAAAATTGATCTTTTTAGAATAACACATTCAGTACCCAGTGGCTCAATTTTAACATACTCCGCTCAGCCAATTGATTGTGAACAGCTTTTGAGTGAAAATTAACTTATGAATTCCTCCATTTTTAAATCGTCTATTATCCACTCTAGGCATAAACTGTTTTCAAATCTGAAAATATAGCTAATGAAATGCACAATTACAGTATTCGTTATGATGCTTGGCCAGAGTGTACCATTTCAATTTCTTGTCTACTTGAAATGATCACATTTTATGCTGATTTTCTTTTCAAGTCTAGGATCCACAAAAAAATTTGATCTGATCTGTTTTGCAGAAAATCCTTACCAAAGTTTAAAAAACCAAATAAATGGAAAAATGCTGCCACGCGTTCACCAGTCTTTTGCTTGGTAAGAATTTACCGTTTCAATTCCTGCAGGCTACTCTAAATGCTCACATTTCATGCTGAATATTTTCAGGTCTATTGTCGGCCGATTTAACAACAAAGAAGTAGGAATGACAAACACAGTACTCAGCCTTTAACGGCCGGATCCTCCTTAGTGGAGTCCTTTAAAGCAGCACACCTTTAATCCACCCACAGGAAACTTCAGAAGGACAATCAGACTTGCACACACTTCAGAGACAATGGCAATCAGCCAGAACAGAACTCTCAATCCTATAACCGCTGTCAGGCAACACCAATGATCTAGTGAATCCTTTGGTAACTTCTCCTGGGCTTCCGCTGCCCCATGATCATTATCTCCTCCTGACCTGGTTTACCGCAATGTGGCAAACTGGGTCCCTAGCCGCTTCCGGGTCCCTGGGCTTCATGTTGCTGCATGGCATGTCAGAGCAAGGATGCTGCACTTGGGTCACCCTGCATGGACGCAACCCCACAAAATCCCCCCCCCCCTTTGTTTGACGATGGCCGGTAGGCTGGAGATGGCCAAAGGACCCCAAACCGGGGTTGCGTAGATGTTGCCAGTTGCCGGGGGCTGGGAGGTGTGCAGGTGCAGTGGCACCAAGGGACGCAGAGTGTCCTTGACCAGGCATGGGTTGAGGAAATGGTGGCGCGCAGGCGCACCAGGAGGTCCTAAGAAACAAAGGAGAAATTTGTCACTTGTCTTCCTGATCCCGCCCGGGGCGGAAGTCCCAAATTTTGTCTAAAAAGTGCAAAGTCAAGTCTGTTGGTCAAAAAATGGAATGTGTTTGAAATTTTGGGACGCAAGTGCTTGTCCATTGCTAGTTTCTGCGCTGTGTTTGGCGTTACTCTTCAGCTGGGCTGGCATTGCCAGTTGATGATTGTGGCCGGTGGTCTGGTCCAGCTGCGTGTACATGGTGGTTGTGGGCCCCCTGGGGAAAAAGCTCAATGATGCGCCATGGGCTTACCATCCCTTGCTGCCGCAGCAGCCTTTGGGGTGTCCTTTGCAATTCTGCAAATGCGCAGACAGCTGTCTCACGGAGGCCAGCACCTAGACATGCATGCGCATCCTCTGGGGCTCTGCAAGCCACCAAGAGGGTCCCAGAGGTCTGGTGCTGCTGCCGGAGGAGGTCTTATAGTTACGTATGTAAATGCCATCACTCGTGGAGCTCTTTGGTGCAAAGCAATCTTGGGGTTTTGTGTCCAGCTTTTTGGAAGCGGAGTGCTGAGTTGATTGTCTTGTGGTTCCTTCCAGATTTCAGGGCAACTCGCGTACCAGAAGAAAAACCCAAAACAAAAGTGCGAACACTGCAAAAAAAGTAAACAAGAAAAAGAAAAGCAGTAAAACAATTGTTTGCATTTCATTGCGCTCAGCCGCTGGCAATCAAGGATTGACACAGCCAGAATTGACAAGAAACCAAAGTGCGTGGACTTTGACACTGACAGCGGACAAAAACAGGAGCACAGCAGGGATCCCCAGGCTACACCCAAAATACGGGCATTGGAAGAGGATGGCATCAAAAATGGCATCTCTGGTAAATCATGCTGCTTGTCTTGTTGTTTGAATTGTTGCCTGATCCCTGTTGCATTATGCACCACAGATGGTGAAGATGGAACGTTGCCAGTGCTTGTCATTGCGGAGGCCACTCTGGCCAAAGCTGCGCCTGCTGAGGTGGCAGAGGTGGCATTGGAGGTGCCTGCGGAAGCTGGGATGGCGGTGCCGCCGCATGCAAGGTTACTGGTTGTGGTGGAGGAGAACTCTGCTGTGCTGGCAGGGCTGATGAAGGACACTTGGCAGCACCTGGTGGCTTTGATGCAGGTGGAGGCATTGGTGGATGCAGCAAGCGCCGGTCAACAGCAGCTTGAAGAACAACTGTGACAGGAGACCGCAGCCGCAGAGGCGGCGTACCAGCAACTAAGCTTGGTGCAGGCATCTGTGCAGGGCATGACAATGGCTGTGCAGGTGGCCGAATCTGTCCGTCATTGCTTGAGCTTGGCAGAAGCCAAGATGACTGCCCAGGAACAGGAATTGACTTGCCGGGTCGCGGCCCAGTTCCGCGTTGCAACGCAAGTTGCTTTGCAGAGCTTGGGGCAGGCGTTTCCTGCCGGAGGGCAGATCTTTTTGGCAGCAGATGACGTCATACTTTGACAGGAAGGTGCGTGTTGCCATGACGCAGAGTGTCAAATTTGTCTGGGGTCCAGCCATGGATGTTGTGCAGGCTTGGTATGCCGGGACAAGACCCAAAGGGAGCCCGCAGGCTGCCATCAAGGCGACATTGGCTGTGACAGTGGCCAAGGTGCAAGTGGCGGAACCATCAGCAGGACCGTCATGATGGAGATTGACACTGAGGCGGGAGCCATCAACGCCGCAAATGGAGGAGGTGGCACCACCGCCAAGAGTGCCATTGCTGGAGATGCCGGGATGTGGGGATGATCTGGATGTTGAAATGTTGGAGGCCCCGCCTAGTAAGTCACTCACCAAGGAATTGTCAGAGCCGAGATTGATTGTTTGTTGGGATGCTTTAGTTGCAGATGTGCTGGAGGCGGAAATGTTCAAGGTGTTAACCAAGACCTGGCGATTTGAGCCAGAAGATCCGGTTACGTACATTGCAAATGTCCGCCAGCATTGAGGAGGGACAGGAGAGCAATTGCGCTTTATGCGCAGCTTTCAACTGCCCACCCCAGGCTGCATGGTTTTGGACTATCAATTCTGCTGCATCCAGCACCTGAGGATCTCCCTGATTCCACGGGGGATCAGTAACAGGAGGCAATGCGTGTTGGTGATTGGCAACTCCTTGCTTGCCATGGCTTGCATCACACGCAATAACTGCTGCTTCTTTGGCCTTATCAGCTCAAGGTCAAACACTCCCCAACCTGTGTTTGACAACTCATACTTGACAGAGGATCTACCCTTTGAGGTGTTCCAGGTGAGTAACCTAAAAAAGGCGGGTGCATCAATGGGCTGTATATGACAGCTGTGTGGTGTGGTCCTTCTCTTCTAGTGGAGCTTGAGCAGGCTTGCCACGCTGTGTGGGCGGAATGCAATGATGCTGGCAGATTTACAGCGACGCGTTTGGGCAGACTTGTGCCTTCCCAACAACATGGACTTTGTGGCCGTCCTCGTGAGGATTGGCACCAACAACATAAAGTTCTTGGTGTCTAGGACTGGACACACGCCCTTCACTTAGTTTGTAGGATTCTTCAACCAGCTGAGGATTTACCATGCCAATATTATGGATGCGTTTGGATGCCTGGCCTTTGCACTGGGGGCATTGCCCTCATCCAACAAAACGGACAAGGATTCGCAAGGGGTTGTCCATGGCCAGGACGGGTATCCTGTGTTGCCAGTGCGGGCATGAAGAGGCCCAACTATGACCGCCCACCACATCCATGCTGGTGGGCTTATGCTCCAAGCATTGCTGCAGGGATGGTAGCACCAATATGGCCCCTTCCATGCCTACAGACCAGAAGGTACCTGTTGCAGGTATTATGCTGCGCCGATGCCCGGAGGGATGTTGACACTCCTTATGGCGCACTGTGCAGACTTCCAGCACAATTTTGGCCACTTCTTGCCACCGACGGTGGGATTTATGGTGCAAGATCTTGCACTGTCCTGCATCTGGGCAGTGGCACAAGTGACAGGAGAGGCTCTGGCTTGATACGGATTGTGCCTGGGATGGGCTCCGGAGTGGCGCCAAGATGGCACCGCAACCAACGGCATCCCACCACTGCGGGAGCACATGCACTGTGGAGCAAACAGGCTGTGCCCTTGTGTTTTGCAATTGCTGCTGTCACTGGACAGCCTTGGCGTGTCTGGCAATTCCTTTGCCAGTAAGTTGATGCATCACTAACCTGTGGTTGCTCATATTGATGCCGTTGTGTTCCCACAGATTTGACCCCACTGGATTTTTGACAGGTGCGTATGGACATATGTATAGCCACATCGGACTGCAAGGCAACCGGATGACCGTGACCATGCAGCAAGTTGGGATCCTCCAAGTTGGCACCATTATCATGCATGCAGGCCACCAAATGGTGGTTTTGGAAACAACTGCCCTTGGAGCGTGGGTTGTTGGAGTGCTTTGGCGCGTATTTATCCCTTACTTGCTGAATTGTGCAAGGTTTAATTGTTGTCGCAATGCGGACAACAATGGTTGACAGGTTTGTGGGCCCCCATTGTTGGTTTTGTTTTGAGGTCAGTAAAAACCCGTT